TACGACTTTCCTGGAACACGGCATAAATGAGATTCATAGGAACAAATGTATCTTTTCTGTAAATAAATTCTGATTCCTCATTTGTCTGAGGGTTCCAAGAAAAGTCTTATAAAATCTCCAATAAGAGAGCGGTTCTTAGCAAACTCTGGACTTGGAGGAGGCTGCTCTCCGAGAAGCAGAAGGGCCCAACTGCCCAAAGCTCGTTGAGGAGAGCCTTTGCAGCCCAGCGGTTCTGCCCGTTTGCAGGGCTGAAACCCCCTCACCTCAGCCAGCTCCATTACACAGTGAAATTGTGAATCACCACCTAACTGCCTGAAATGACAGCCGCCCAGTGAACAGTGCTGCACATCGTAAGCCGAGCAGACTCCTTCTCTGGCTGGTGACTGTATTTCTAATCCTGCTCAGGACTCCCCGGCCACCTTTCATTCCTGCATGTCACCCGTCTGTGAACCACATTCACAGATGACTTCATCAACTGCGCAGTCGTCTTGTCTGCGTCCCTGAGCTGTCCTGGGAGATGGAAGTGTCCAGCAGCTGACCCGTCTTACACTTGTCCTAGCCTCCCTTTTTTCGGTGGACTTCCCCCCCACTTGGGAAACCCTGTGCCCGCCCCTCCGGATGTTTGTCTTTGGCAGCTCCATTTCCAGATTCTTTGTCACCAGCATCTCTCTGTCTGGCTGCCATAATCTCGTAGGCTTCTGATCTCTCATCTTTGTATTTACTTTCTTTCATTTGTTGGCTTTTATTTGGCCTGCAAGGGCAGAGAGATAAGCTAATGACATTCCTCTGTTAAAAGCACACTCACTGATCCGTGAAAGGTCCCTCGCTTAATTTATTTACTCCTTTTATATCCCATTCCCCGTCTTGCATATGTCTTTATACACCGTGTTTTGTATCTTGTTTTTAATTTACATAAATGTTTTTGCGCTGTAGACTCCTTTCTCCCACTCAGCACTCTGGATCTGTCCGGATTGCTGTGTACCCCATCGGGTCTGACGCGCTCGTGGCCACCTCGTAGTCTGTGGGGTCCCCCGCCGCGCGGACCGTGCCCGACGACAAGACTTTCCACTGCCTGCCACCAATTTTAAGATGATCTCTTTGTTCCTTTTTCCCCCTACGTTTGCCTTACAGTGTTGCTACGTATGCAGTTATGTTTGCATCCTCATTTTCCAAGTAGCGCTAGTGGCATAACAAACCACCCCAAACTTAAAGACCTTAAACAATGATTTATTCCTATCTGGAACCCCTTGGTTCCCCAGAACCATGCATTGGCTGTTCTCGCTTAGGTTCAGATGTGGTTACAGTCAGATGGTGGCCCGCGCCAGAGTCCTCTTGAAGGCGTCCTTACTCGTAGGTCTATGGGGTGAGGCTGGCTGTCGTCTGGGGCCATAGCAGGGACTATTGGTCAGATACACCTGCAAGCATCCTCTCCAGGTGGCCCAGGCTTCCTCACAGTGGAGTGGCCGGCTTATAAGAGCCAGCATCCCTAGAGGGAGCGGGCAAAGCGGATCCTCCTTTTCTAACCTAGCCTCAGAAGCTCTGTAGTACTGCTTCCGCTATATTCTGTTCATTAGAAGCCGTCCCTCAGGCCAGGCGCGGGCAAGGGGAGGGGACTCGGACTCCATCCCTTGATGGAGGGAACATCAAAGAACTTGCAGGCGTCTCTCCACACTGCCGCACCTGGTTAGAACCCAGGGTGACGCTTCAGTGTTAGGACTCAGGTCCACCTCCACTTCTGGAAGACACCTCTATTTTCTTTTCAGATATACTGTTTCTCCGTCCTTTCCTGTGTTCTCTTCCTCTGGAACTCCTTTAAAAGTATGTTGGGGCCTTGGTGGGTCACTTGTGGTCTCAGTGACACATGCATATTTTGTATCTCTTTAGCTCCCTGTGCTGTGTTCTGAATTAATTTCTGTGCTCTGTTCCAAGTCACTCATTCTGTTTTCAGTTTTAACCAGTTGAGAGTTTAACCAGTACATTGATTTTATGTCATCGGCTACATTTTCTACTGGCTTGTTTTTCTCGTCTACCTATTCTTGTTTGATGATATCTGCCTGGTTTTGTTTCCTAATTCCTTACTTTTTATAGAAAGTACTCCTTTTAGGGGCGCCTGGCTGGCTTAGTCGGAAGAGCCTGCGACTCTTGATCTTGGGGCCGTGAGTTTAAGCCCCACTTTGGGTGTAGCGATTACTTAAATAAATAAAAGACTTAAAAAAGAAATTAATCTTTTTATCTTGCAGAGGGCCCTACACTGATTATGATATAGTTTGCTGTTTGCTTTATTTTCGTTTCTTCTCGGGTGGCTTCCTCTCCTCCTGTAGATTGCTGCCTCTCCTGGGTGATCGACCCCGTTGCGCAACTGTCCCCCCATGTCCAGCAGCTTCCAGTCACGGGAGCTTTAGGTCTCCTGTCCCCCCATGATACTGGGTGATTTACAAATTAAGTCCCTGAGGCAGTGACCGGCTGGCGAAATCCAGACCAGTTTTAACTCTTCATTTCTAAGTGGGGGCCCTGTAGTACACAGAGCTATAGATTTGGACTCAGCACCCTGTGTCCTGGGTCTGGGATTTTGGCTTCTTATGGTTGACCCCTGGGCACAGTTCTAGGGCTTCTTTCTGGCTTCCTGCCAGCTAGTGTGAGGGTCACAGAAGGGCGGGGCGGGAAGTTTCCAGGCTTACAGAGGAGGATCTGAGCACAGACCGCCTCTCAGGGGCCCTCTCTGGCCCTCCTGGCCCCACACACTGCACCCTGCTCTCCATTCCCAGGGCTGCTGCGGCACCGCCTCCCTCCTAACCTCTGTAGCTTTCTTTCCCACCTCATTTCTGGCACCTGGAGATTTCACTGCCTTTCCTTTAACCTTGGCAATGAATTTCTTTCTCATTGTTCCTCTTTTATGCAACATTTCTATGCATCCTTAGCAGGAGGAGTGCCTGTTTACTTTAGCTGAGGCTGTCATGCGCTGGAAATTGTCATTTGTTCTGTATCCAGACCCTTATTCCTCCCGTTTTCAGCCTCCTCCTCATTCTTATCCTTCATATACCTGCCAAAGCTGAGTCTAAGCCCTGCCAACCTTCTCCAGGGTAGACAGGCCACCTCCCCTTGTGTATTTGATAGAATTTGGCTTTTCCATTCTGTTCCTTCCATCAATACTCTTCCCTCCACTTTGCGTTTACGGAATGTGCCCAAATCTTTCTGCTAATGCCCTAAGCATGTGCTTTTCACTGTTACAATTTTAATCCGGTTTTTATTCTTTACTATTATTTTCATGAGGTCTCCAGAGTTTGAAGAGAACAATGCATTTACTCAGTCTACTGTCTTGAATGAAAGAGCTCAGCTGAGTTCTCAGTGCTGCTGTGTAAGCTTTTTTTTTTTTTTTCTTCTTTGGTCCTCATTCAGCTTCCTTCCTCGTTTCTGACATCTGCTATTCCCTCCCTCGCTCCTAGCAAAGGACCTCAGCTCTTTCCTCTTAGAGAAACAAACCATCAGATGTGGGCCGTTCTGTTACCCATCCTCTCTCTCCCATCTGCAAACTCACCTTTCTTATTGCCTATCCTCACCTTTTTCCCTTCTCTCCTGGAGCAAAATCACGGTCTCATCTGTCCTCCATTGATCCTTCAGTTCACCTGGCTATGTGTGGGCTCTCCTCCCCGCCCCGCACCCCCCCCCCCCCCCCCCCCCCTAGTGCCTTGCCTCTTCCCTGGGCAGCCTTATCCACACACGAAATTCTTAAACGGTATACCCAGTTCTGATCTCCTTCCCTTAGGTTATATTTCTAACTGCTGACTGAATATCCTTACTCACATACTCCATGGTTTTCTCAAATTCAGCATCTTTATTTCTCTCTGGAAAGTCTGCTCCTTCTTACGTTTTCCCCATTGTGCCGAGTAGTGCCCTGATTCACTGAATCACCCCGGCTACCAGTTTGGGTTGTTTGTGTGTGTGTGTGTTTGTTTGAACTTCCTTGAATAGTTCCAGAACTGCACACTGGCCATTACAGTAGCTACTGGCTACACACATCTATTTATATTTGAATTCAAGTGGACGAAAATAGAATACAATTAAAAATTCAGTTCTTTGGGTCTAGTAGGCACACTGCAAATTCTCAGTAGCCACGTGAGGCCAGAGCAGCTGTAGAACAGCATCGCTGTTCCCGGAAGTCGTTGGGCGACGCTACTCTAGGGTGTATTTTACCATTTTTGTTCCCATTTCGCTGTGTTGGAGCCTCATCATCTCTCTCGACTCACCCCCTTTTTCTTGCTCATTTCAGTTCATTCTCTTTTCTAATCAAATGATTTTTTTAAGATTTTTTTTTTTTTTTTTTTTTACATAGGGAGCGCGAGTGAGAGAGAGCACGCAAGCACAAGCAGGGGGAGCAGCAGGCAGGGGAGAAGCAGGCTCCCCTCTGAGCAGGGAGTCCGATGAGGGGCTCGATCACAGGACCCTGGGATCATGACTTGAGCCGAAGGCAGACACTTAACCAACTGAGCCACCCAGGCTCCCCTCAAATGATTTTCTTTTTTATAAGACCCTTTACTCCCTTTGAGAGTCATTAAGTTATAAATGAGAAATGCAGAGTTCTGGCATTTTAACGTCATTTCCTTACTTGAACCTTTCAGAGTCCTCCCCAGCCTGCTCCACCCTGCCTCTGTTTGCCTTTTCCTTTTTATTTGCTTGATGAACAACTACATGACCTCCAAGATTGAATCCCAGTGTTTCCCACTGTGGCAAGGCAGAGGAAAATGTGTCTTTTAGACTTGGATGCTCCTGTTGATAGCCCTTTTCAGAGTGCATTCACATTGCAGTGTTTGGCTCAACTCCAAGCCCCTATAAAACAAGAATTTTACCTTCATACTCTATCATGTTTCCAATATATGCAAGAGATTGACTCCTTTTTTTTTTTTCCTGAGAGAGAGAGCATGTGCGCATGAGTGAGGGTGGGGAGCGGCAGAGGAAGAGGGATAGAATCATAAGTAGGCTCCAGGCTCAGTGTGAAGCCCGACATGGGGCTCAGTCTCACCACCAGCGATCATAACAGCCGAAATCGAGAGTCGGACACTTAACCGACTGAGCCACCCAGGCACTCCTGCAGCAGGTTGACTTCTTTTCAGGGCATCTAGATGAGGACTGGCTACATGCTCACTTCAAGAGAAATCAGAAAATGGCCACTCAAATCACGTTCTGTGTTTTGTTGCCGAACTCCAATTGAGAAAGCCTGGAAAGGGTGATGAATGACCTTCCAACAAGTATTGATTCCTTGTTTTGGGTAGCTGTGATTCCTGGCTACCCCCTGACTCCGAACCACATATTTTGTAGAGACAAACGTATTTTCTTTAATATTTTCAGTGAATGCAGGTATATTATTTAATTATCCCAAACTCAGTGGCTTAAAACAACAGAAATTTATTCTCTCACAGTTCTGGAGTCCACGCAGTCAAGGTGTTGGCAGGGCTGCGCTTCCTCCAAGGGCTCTGGAGGAGAATCCTTTCTTGACTTTCCAGCTTCTGGTAGGTCCCGCAGTTCTTTGACTTGAGGCCAATCTCAGCCTCCATTTTTACTTGGCCTTTTTCTCTGTGCCTCTGTCTTTCTCCCCCCCTCCCTTAAGTAATCTCTACGCTCAATGTGGAGCTCAAACTCACAACCCCAAGATCAAGAGTCACATGCTCCACCAACTGAGCCAGCCAGGTGCCTCATGTACCTCTGTGTCTTAAATTTCCCTCTCCTTTTTCTTACAAGGATACAAGTCATTAGATTTAGGACCCACCCTAAATCCAGGATGATCTCATCCTGAGAGTCTTAATTTAATCATATCTACAAAGACCATATTCCAAAATGAGGTCACATTCACAGGTACTGTGGGGATTTTTTTTTTTAAAGATTTTATTTGTTTATTTGACAGTGAGAGAAACAGTGAGAGTGGGAACACAAGCAGAGGGAGTGAGAGAGAGAGTAGGCTTCCCGTGGAGCAGGGAGCCCGATGTGGGGCTCGATCCCAGGTCCCTGGGATCATGACCTGAGCTGAAGGCAGATGCTTAACGACTGAGCCACCCAGGCGCCCCGGTACTGTGGGTTTAGAACTTGAAGCTGTCTTTTGGGGGAGGGGGGCAGTGAAGGGCATGATGCAACCTGCTAGAGTGGGTAAGAATAGGAATGAAGACAATCACAGCTGTGTCTCTCCCCTCTCCCAGGCTTCACCTAAGCTGAATCAGCAAATTGGCTGTAGCCTTCATTTCTGTGCATTTATTCATTTAAATTAATTAAGACCCCCCCCACCTCCAAATCAAGAAAAGAGAGAAGGCTATTTAATCCAGCTGGCTGTCTATCTTCATGACAAGCTCACTCCACTCCCTTCAGCTGGATTTTTTTCACTGCCTAACAATTACCATTAAATGATAAAGCGTACACCAAAAATAAACCTGTTTATCATTCTGTAGTTTTCAAAGGCATTCTCCAGGTCTAACGCTTTTTAAACGAAAATGGATATTTAGATTTAGAAATCATTTTAAGCATGCATGCCTGTGCACAAACAAGCCATGGAGAGATAGGAAGAAAGAATATTAGGTACCTTCTCTGTTTTTATTTTTCAGTGCCATCTAAATTTTCCACAGTGGACATGTTTTACTTGAGTGATTAGAAGAAGAAACTTTTTCTCAATAACATGGGTAATTTTAACGCACTTTTAGTAAATTGCCCAAGACAATTTATTTATATATTTTAATGTAAGGTGAGTAGGCCACTTGGCATTGTAGGAACCGACCACGGATTATTCTGTGAATGATTCAGATACTCTTTAGATTTTGGAATGGTGTTAACATTGTCAGTTATTCAGGACCTCATCAGACTTTGATAGCAGTAGCAGTGGAAATCCCTGGTCTCCGTCAGGGAGGTTTCCCGGGTGCCAGGAAGCAGCTTGATGGGAAAGCAGGCCCTCTCTTTGCCATGCAGCCCTAACAAGGCATCAGCACTATACCTCTTCTTGGTTTGTTGGGGACCAGTCCAGAATAAGCCCTGTCAGCTCTCACCAGCAATACCCTTTGGCTTTAACAAGCATGTGTTTTTCTAGTCTTTTAACTATTTTGAGGTCTGCCCTGTTTCTGGTGTGCTATGAGGACGACCCGTGTTTCCATCAACCCCCTGTTACTGGAAGCTGCAGCAGAGCGTGAGGCACTTTTTAGCTGTTACACCATTGAATGCAATTCGCTCTGAGGGAATTTTCCTATTTTGGCTTCTAATATGTTGATGAATTATTGAAATTTCAATTACTTTTGGTTCCCAATTTAGCAGGATGGAGACATCCAAGATATTTAATATGAAAAGCTTTCCAGTTGCTTTTGGAGGAGGGTTTGGTTTCAAGGATGTGGTTGCATTCCTCCTGTCTCTGGGACTAAAGTGCTGTGTGGCCCCAGGAGTCCCTTAGGACTCGGGGTGTGAGCCCCCAACTGGGAGCATCTGCAGATCCTGGGAGCCTATCAGATATGCACATTCCACCTACCAAATCAGAATCCCTGGGGATGGGACCCTAGGCTCTTTAGCAAGCCTCCTGGACATTCTGGTGCACTGACAAGTTTGGAAAGCCCTGACTTAGATGTCCCGGTGCTAATTCTTCCCAGCAGGACCTGGTGCCCATTTGTAGGGACCCATGGGTGCTATAGTCAGTTTGCCCTTCAAGGTAGACATCGTACTTGATGACAAAACTGTGATCCAAGTCATCAGACCAATTTCTCTCAATTATTTTCACTTCCTTGGAACACTTCTCACTTTGGAAATCACTGAGCCATAACTATAGAGAAGAGAGTCTGCACATTTAAGTTCTGTGCAGGTAAATGTGTGTTCTAAATGTAATTCAGAGGACCCCGGGTTTCTCTTTTATGCAGAAAGACTCTGTAGATATTCCTTCCCGCTGTCCCATGGATAATCCCATCTTCAAGTCTCTTGGGGGGAAGCTGCAGGTGCGTCTGTGTCTTGCCCTTGGCCTCTCCTCCTTGCTAGTGCCTTCGGCTCTTCCACACCGTGCAGTTCTCCCAGTACAGTGTCACCCTGATGCCTGTGCCCTCATGCAAGATGTTCCCCCACCCCCAGCTTGCTCAGCACCCCCATCAGAGCCGGCCCCTCCTCATCTTGTCCATTGCGATCTGGTCGCTTCCAAGACTCTGTTCAAGCACCGTCCCCTCCTTCCCTGTCGACTTGAGATGGAGGTACATTCTTCCCCTTTTCAGCTTCCTACAGCACCTTAGGTGGATATTTACAGCATTAATGTGCGCTTGCATTGAAATGATTTGTTCTCTCTTCCTCTGAGCTTTGAGTTCCAGGCGAGTGGCGATTTCATCCTGGGTTCTCCATCTGCAGTGCCCAAGACGTTCAGGCCCATGAGGCAGAATGAACAAACATTCCTTAAAGATGGTCCTTCCCCCTCTGCTGGAAGCCTTCAAAGCCTTAGAAAACATTTTTAGATCATACCTGTGAAAAACAGATGATGGCCAGCCAGTGGCAGGTCTAGTTAAGAATACAACAAACTTTTATGTGGACTCAACCAAGTTAGCTTTAGTTAGGTTTTCAGTGAAGCTAGTCTCTTCATGGAAATGAAAACCCAGCCATCTGGCTACTTTGCTCCTTGGCCAGGGAAGCCACCAACTGTGTCTAAAGTTTGCATTATTATTTCAGGTTCGAGAGCTTCAAACGCGACTACAGAGCGTGCAGGCCACGGGGCCCTCCAGCCCTGGCCGCCTCACTTCTGCCAACCGCCCAGTTAACCCCAGCACCGGGGAGCTGAGCACAAGCAGCAGCAGCAATGACATTCCCATTGCCAAGGTGAGCGCCCGGGGACGGGCAGGAAGCCTGCTCTTTTACCTGGAATCCGCACCAGGCTCTACCAAGCTTGGCCACTCTGCAGGCCTGGGATGAGCTCACAGGGCGCCGAGGAGCTTCCCTCGGGTCTCTCACAGGCCTCCTACGCTGGGGCTGCAGGGAGAGATAGCCCGCTGGTAGTTTTGTCTGTCTTGGCTGTGACCTGGATGCCAACTCTCCTTAATCAGCCAGCGGGAGCAGGTCACAGCTGACCAGTCGTTGTGGAAAGTGAGATGTTTTGTCAGGTTCTACCGTAGTAAGGGGTGGATGGATAGTTCCTCTGGGGGACTGAGATTCAGCCCAGGAGGGGACCCTGAGTAATGGACCAGTGATCGCCCTTCTCATAGGACCAACAGCCCTGGCTGCAGAAAAATAGATTCTGCTGGACAGGCCAAGGCAGTTAGAGGAGCGGCCCCACCCCTGCACATATGCTGAGTCTGCCCCAGAGGGACTGTAACAATGACACACACGCTCTTCCCTGGTGGGCTGCCGGTCTCTGCAGGGGGGCGGGTTCTCAACCATCAAGTTGAATAAGTGGGGTCAAACCATTGTTTCTCAACTAGAAGTGATTCTGTCCTCCCCCAAGGGATATTGGGCAACGTCTGGAGACAGTCCTGATGGTCACCGCTAGAGTGCTAGTGGCATCTTGCGGCTAGAAGCCAGGGGTGCTGCAAACAATCCCACAGGGCACAGAATAGCCCTCTACAACAAAGAACATCCAACCCAAGATGTCACGAGTGCTGAGGTTGGAAAACCCTGGGTGAAGCAGATGGTGGAAAAATTGGATGAGTGAGTTATTTTTAGGAAATTGACGAATCGGTTTAGTCGCCATGACTAAACAGTAGCCCTGTATGAGCACAGTCTTCGACGGTTTATCTGGACAGTGATGTGTCATTTTTCGATAATTTTTTGTTTTTCTAGATTGCTGAGAGGGTGAAGCTATCGAAGACCAGGTCCGAGTCTTCGTCATCGGATCGGCCAGTCCTGGGATCAGAAATCAGTAGCATCGGGGTGAGTGTTCGTGAGATGCAAGACAGAGTGCCCAGTAGGGCTACACAGATGGCCGATCGTAGGTGACAGAACTTCCCAAGTTCACCTCCTGTAAACAAGTTAATTATAAAACAAGTCATGGGCGCCTGGGTGGCTCAGTTGGTTAAGCGACTGCCTTCGGCTCAGGTCATGATCCTGGAGTCC